ATTTCTTCCTAGCATTGCCATGTTGAGGCCCCTTGTGCGTTGGGTCCACCACTGGGTCCTGCTCAGGCTCTCTGTAGTCCCTGGCTCCAAAGCGCTACTGAGCCCCAGCTCAGACTTAACCTTGGCTCCGCTGTCCTGGCCGTGAGTCAGGCCCCTCACGACTCTCCCTGCTCTCTCCCAGGACACCGTCTATGAGTACTTCGTTTTCCTAGCATTGCCATGTTGAGGCCCCTTGTGCGTTGGGTCCACCACTGGGTCCTGCTCAGGCTCTCTGTAGTCCCTGGCTCCAAAGCGCTACTGAGCCCCAGCTCAGACTTAACCTTGGCTCCGCTGTCCTGGCCGTGAGTCAGGCCCCTCACGACTCTCCCTGCTCTCTCCCAGGACACCGTCTATGAGTACTTCGTTGACTCCAAAAGGAAGAACTGGGCCTCATTTGAGGACAAGCTGCCCAAAATGTGGAGGTACCCAGCCAAGTGAGTAACTGGGGGCCGAGATGGGTGGCTGGACTCTACTCTCATCACCATCAGATCCTCAGTCTGGGCAGTGACAGGAGCTCACACTCTGGGGATCTGCCCCCAGCACCTGTCTACACACACTTTATGGATCTCAGCTGGCACTCCTGTGGCCCTGTGGGTGCATTGTTGCAGCTGAGTGCTGTGCTGCTGAGCCTGACTCTGATCCGGAATCAGGGAGGGGCAGGTTGTGAGTCTGGATGGGCCCTTTAGCCAGATCTGGGGGCAGGGAGGGGGTGGACTGTGAGGCTAGATAAGCCCGTGGATGAGCTGTTGAGCTGGATGGGCCCATTGGCTTGATCTGGGGCAGGCTGTAGTATTGGATAGGCCTGTTGGTCTGATTGGGGCCAAGGAGGGAGCAGGGTGTGGGGCAGGATGGGCCCATTGGCTTGATGCAACACGAACGCCATGACCTATTGAGCTGACCTCCCCCCCATCTGTCCCTCTCTCCCCAGTGCTCCTTTCTATAAGATCATCGTCCCCACGGTGGATACAGTGCGCTACAATTATCTGGTGAAAGCCCTGGTGTCAAGTCAGAACCCAGTGCTGCTTGTGGGCCCAGTGGGCACCGGGAAGACCTCCCTCGCCCAGAGTGTGCTGCAATCTCTAGACAATACCAAGTGGGCCATACTGACTGTCAACATGTCTGCTCAGGTAACAGCCCCTAGAGGGCCTGGAAACCCCCCAACCCTAGGGAGCCATGGAGTGATTTCCCCACTTGCCTCTAAGGCCATGAAAATTCCCCCCTCTGCCTTGGTCAGTGCTCCCTTGGGCCACAGAGATCCCTCCTCTGCCTTCCCTCCTCCTCTTGGCCATGGAGATCCTCCTCTGCCTTCCGTGGCATCCCAGGGCCATGGATAGCCCCCAACCTTCTCCGGCATGCTAGGGCCAGGGGAATAGGACCATAGGGAGTCCCTGGTGCCAGGACAGGGGAGCAGAGCATCTGGGTAGTGGAACCACATAATGGCACAGCCCTCTCAAGGGAGAGAAGTATTCCCAGTCCTTTATATTCAGAGGAAATAAAGGCAAAGGTGGGTGGGAGGGAGTTAACTTGGGTCAAACAGTTAATTAGCAGCATAGCCAGAGAAAGAACCTGGCTCCTAGCACCCCCTGCTCTAATCCACCAGCCTCTGCTCCCCTTCCAGAGCTGGGGAGAGAATTCATGATTCTTCTTGGAGTGCTTGTTCATGTGTATTCTAATCAGATGTGTGTGTTCGTGTATGCATAGGAGCTGGAAGACTTTTGCCTAGCAGCAACCATCGGGTCAGCCCACGTGCCCCCTGGAGTGGTGCCAATATGGCATTCAATATATAACCTTGATGACCAACCAACCCCCCAGTTCCTTCTTACTGCCAGGTGATGGCAGCTGGAATGTCTCACTGTTACTAATGGCAAGCTCTCCTACTAGTGGTTAGGCCACGTCTCCACTTACTGGAGGATAGATGCTCTGGCAGGGTTCGATTTAGTGGATCTACTTAAGAACTACTAAATTGAATGCTGAGGGCACCCCTGTTGGCACTGATAGTCCTGACTGTCACTTCTCCCGTCAACCTCCCACTGTTGAGAGGGCACCAAGTTCAGCTTGAGGTACAAAACTCCAGGTACATAAATAATAGATAGCGCTGTCAGTTGACCTGCGTTAACACCTGTGATTAACGCAGGACAGGATTAATGCGTTAATCCTTTTAATGTGTTAATAGCAGGCCTTAATGCTGTGCTGCCCCTTTGAAGTTCCACTCCCATACTTCAAAGGGGCAGCACAAGCAGAGCCGGGGATCAGCTGGTGACTTCAGCTGATCCCTGGCTCCGTGTTACACAGCCCCTTTGGAGTGCCACTCGAGTGCTTCAAAGGGGCTTTGCAACACAGAGCTGGGGATCAGCTGGAGTCCCCAGCTGATCCCAGGCTCCTAATGCACTGCCCCTTTAAAGTACCAAAATGGCACTTCAGAGGGGCAGATCAAGCCGAGCCTGGGATCAGTTGGAGTCCCCAGCTGATCCCCGGCTCCGCTGTTGCAAAGTGCCTTTGAAGCACTGGAGCAGCACTTCAAAGGGGCTTTGCAATGCTGGAGCCGGGTATCAGCTGGTCACTCCAGCTGATCCCTGGTTCTGAATTGCAAAGCCCGTTTGAAGCACCCGAGTGGCACTGAGGTGCAGTTCTTGGTTGTGGGGAGTGCCAGTGCCAAGCCACCTTCTCTGAGTCCTTATGCAGAGCCAGTGCACTCCGCACCAACAATGGCGCACTTCTCACCAAGACCACCTGGTCTGGTCCCAAGGCCTGCAGCACCAGATGGGAGTGCAAGGAAGCTTCGATTAGAAGATTTCTAGGACAAATCTCCCTATTCCTGTTGGTTCTGACACTTATCTGCAAGGTGTGTCACTCGCAAACACTTGAGACAGGATTTGTGGGGAACTCCTATAGGCATGGTCTGGAGGGAGCAGGGGAGAAACAGCGACTCTCCACTGAACCTGTAATAAGTAACTGCTGACTATCAAGAACATAAGAACTGCCACATTGGGTCAGACCAAAGGTCCATCTGGTCCAGTATCCTGTCTTCTGACAGTGGCCAATGTCAGATGCTCCAGAGGGAGTGAACAGAATAGGGAATCGTCAAGTAATGCCTCTGCTGTCACCCATTCCCATCCTCTGACAGAGGCTAGGGACACCATTCTTACTCATCCTGGCTAATAGCCATTGATGGACCTAATCTCCATGAATTTTTCTAGTTCTTCTTCGAGTGATGTCCCTGTGGGTGCTCCACTGTTAGTGTCAGGCTCGTCCCGGCACCTTTGATCAGAGACTTGTGAAGCAGTGATCAGGAGGGCTGCACACGCACAAGTGGAGAGCGGCGTTCCCACCTTTTAAGTAGCACATGCAGCCAGGGCCAGCCTTAGGCCGATTCAACCTACTCCCCTGAATCGGGCCTCGCGCCTAAGAGGGCCCTGCGCCCCCGCGTTCCTCCAACCTGTCAATCACAATCAACCAGTCGATCGCGAGGCCTTGACCAGCTGATCGTGAGTGTTCGGGTTGAAGCACTGGAGCAGCACTTCAAAGGGGCTTTGCAATGCTGGAGCCGGGTATCAGCTGGTCACTCCAGCTGATCCCTGGTTCTGAATTGCAAAGCCCGTTTGAAGCACCCGAGTGGCACTGAGGTGCAGTTCTTGGTTGTGGGGAGTGCCAGTGCCAAGCCACCTTCTCTGAGTCCTTATGCAGAGCCAGTGCACTCCGCACCAACAATGGCGCACTTCTCACCAAGACCACCTGGTCTGGTCCCAAGGCCTGCAGCACCAGATGGGAGTGCAAGGAAGCTTCGATTAGAAGATTTCTAGGACAAATCTCCCTATTCCTGTTGGTTCTGACACTTATCTGCAAGGTGTGTCACTCGCAAACACTTGAGACAGGATTTGTGGGGAACTCCTATAGGCATGGTCTGGAGGGAGCAGGGGAGAAACAGCGACTCTCCACTGAACCTGTAATAAGTAACTGCTGACTATCAAGAACATAAGAACTGCCACATTGGGTCAGACCAAAGGTCCATCTGGTCCAGTATCCTGTCTTCTGACAGTGGCCAATGTCAGATGCTCCAGAGGGAGTGAACAGAATAGGGAATCGTCAAGTAATGCCTCTGCTGTCACCCATTCCCATCCTCTGACAGAGGCTAGGGACACCATTCTTACTCATCCTGGCTAATAGCCATTGATGGACCTAATCTCCATGAATTTTTCTAGTTCTTCTTCGAGTGATGTCCCTGTGGGTGCTCCACTGTTAGTGTCAGGCTCGTCCCGGCACCTTTGATCAGAGACTTGTGAAGCAGTGATCAGGAGGGCTGCACACGCACAAGTGGAGAGCGGCGTTCCCACCTTTTAAGTAGCACATGCAGCCAGGGCCAGCCTTAGGCCGATTCAACCTACTCCCCTGAATCGGGCCTCGCGCCTAAGAGGGCCCTGCGCCCCCGCGTTCCTCCAACCTGTCAATCACAATCAACCAGTCGATCGCGAGGCCTTGACCAGCTGATCGTGAGTGTTCGGGACCCCCCACCCTCTATTCCCCCTTTTCCCCCCCCCCCCGCGTGAAGTCCTTCCTGAAGCAGCTTTGCACCACTTCGAGGATTCCGGAAGTGCGCTGGCTGCTTCCCTCCCACAGCAATGTAGTGTGCCGGGCACGCTGTGGGAGGGGGTGTCAGCCCTGGAGGAAGAGAGTGACGCCGGCGGCTTCCCTGCACCATGACCGCAGGACTCAAGAGGGGTGAGTCGAGCGCAGGGATTTTGTCTGTGCTGCAGGAGTTTGGCCCCAGGATAGGGGCAGGAGGGGGTTTGGCCCCGCCGTGGG